CACCTCTACCCCTGGTGTGCCTTCGCCTCCCACGACTAAGCACAACATTTTTATGTTATATTTGTTTTCAAGAGCTCTAAATAAGTGTATCTTTTGAATTGTACTGGTTGATGCCAATTGTCTCTTTTATTATCCGGTCCTAAGGTTTTAGAGGAAGCTGAAGCATTGAGACATTGTTCAAGGAGAGGGGAATTCATATTAGACATAACCGCCAAATGGGAGCGAAAAACACAGGGCAAACATAAAGAGCTAAATTTGGTAGTGGATGTATGCATTTTGGAGAGGGAATGAAGGAAATTTCAAGAGATCAGATTTTCTTGGAGGTATTTCTCTTTCTAAAAGGTAAAAACAGTTGTTTGCCTCACTGATTAGAGGTTTGGAGAGAGAGCGAGATGGTGGGTACGAATTTAACCAAAAAAAGTTTGGCAAAAGGCAGAGAAAACCGGTACATTGTCCTGGTTTTTTTTTTTTTGGATAGTGTTAACCTTAAAGGCTGCCTGCGAAAATTGATCCTAAAAGGTTTCTCCTGTTATCTCAAAATCCAAACCTTCCAAGTCAATGGACTAAGAAGAGGGCTGTTACCATAATGTAGCAGGACCAACGGCCTTATATAAACTTCTTTTACATCTATCTTGTATATTCAAAAGATTGAAGTAGAATAATCAGCAACAGATCAAAAGAGGAACACTGTTGGTATACCTGAGAGAGAGACAGAGGCGTAACGCAAGAGGCCCAAGCACCATGTTTTCCTAAGGTTCAGCTTTCAAATTCATCAAGAAATTCCCCTCTTTATGAGTTGCATTTCTCTCTTTGGTGATGAACTAAATGGTCTGAAATGGTCTTTAACTCTCGTCAACTCTATCCCCCACAGTCCCTAAAATCAACTTTATCACTCTCTACATTGCTTGACTTCTCCTCGGTACTCTCAAGCCCTGGCTGGTTTTGCCCTATTACCATTCATCTCTCGACATAACCCATGTTCTCGATCAGTGGTTGGCTTGCACTTTGTCCAAATTCTCTCTCTCTACATTCCCCCCCAATCACTGACAGGCTCTACATTGCCGGAGTTTTGGTATGTACCCCGACTCTCAATCACTGGATGGATTTCATCCTTAGTCAATTCCCTCCCTAAATTGTCCGAGCTCTCAATACTCATGTTCTCAATCACTGATTCTGGTTGGTTTTTCTATGAGATCAATTCTTTTAGCGGCCCCGTCAAACCCACTTTCACACCCTCTTCACCCTTCACCCCTTCCCCTACTTCATGGATGCTGCTACCATTAAAGCAGTCCGCATGGGCAGAGCCCAGTCCCATTGGGGGGCCTGGGGCCAACCAATATCACTAGTAGGCCATGTTCTAGAAAGTTTCGAAGGGCCCATCGGGCATGGTAGGCCTGAAATGAACAACGTTCTTGAGTGGGCAGTTTTGAGGCTGCAGTGATGCGGGCCGGCAGCCACCGCAGCTACTTGCATGAGAGGATTGGACCCATTGTGAGCTTCAACTGGGCCTGGGTGTCTGTTAGGGTGGATTTCTTTGCAGGTGGTTGGTCCTGGTCTGGACGTTGTTGGGCTCGCTGTAGTGCTTGGGCAATGGTATGGCTGGTGCCCTTGCTATGGAAGAGAAATTCCCTGAACCACGTTCTATATCAAATAAAAATGACAAGTTGGTTTTTAAGAAACTAAGTTTTACTCACAAATTGAAGCAATGATACTAACTTAACAGAGGATATTAATTAATTAAACTCCCCATATGAACAATTCAACAGTAAACAATGTTAACATTTCTCAAAAAAAATAAACAATTCAACAGTAAACACTAGGAAGCGTGGATACTACAGACCCTGAATAAACAATTCAACAATAAAAGTGTAGATGCTAAAGAGCCGATATGAAGATTTTATTCTTTGTTAAGAAGCAAACCCCATATAGAACTTTTTTTTAAAAAATTTCAGCAGTAACAATGAAACTCTAGAGATCATGTTGTGGCACCCACCGCCTTGACTACCTCTTCCTATCTTTAGGAAGCTTTTCTGCCATGTTGAATAATTCAACTGTCATAAAGTGCAGGCGAGGAATACAAGAGAAGTTCAAATGAAGCTCAAATGAAGAAAGCAGGAGCCATAAGGAATGCCACTTAATCAACAGAAAACGAACTTAATGCTTTAGTCATTTTAAGGAATCAATACTCAGAGTAAAAAGGAATACCACCAAAAGATTATGTATTCGATGATATGGGCATATTGAGAGCAATTGAAACAACCTGCCGGGTTACCTGTTGCCCCTAAGTGGTGAACTGTTAAAGCTACCGTCCACCTTTGAATTAGAGCTGGCCTGTTTCTCCCCGGTAATTGACTATCAAATTTAAAACATGACGAAAGGACTCCACAGAAACACACACATATAGATATGAATGTGCATCGAGAAAGAGAGAGAGAGAGAGAGAGAGGAGCATTACATATTCTTATTTTTCACACAAGATAGCAGTATGTATTTTCTCATGCAATAATCTATTTTACAGTTGTAGACCCTCAAGATCTTCTAGGTTTTCTTGGTCCAGAGTCAGCAATAATAGGACCTTCTTGTCTTTTGTCCTATTATTTGATTACATGGTGATGATCCTAATGCACTATAGTTTCCATGATCAACTCAATGATAGTATGCCTTCCCCATATTAGTAAAATAAATGTATGAATCAGTGTTTCAAAAACTGGGAAATAACAAAAAGGGGTTAAATTGTGGCTCCCCTGGGGTGGGGAACTGGCCGGTCCAATAACTTCCTGGATCCATCTCTGTCCCAGCCGATTCCTAATCCGGATCGGCAATTAAAAAAATGACAAGTGTTTTAGTGAGTAAATCTACAAGAAGCTATAACCACTGAGTGGAAGTCGCAAATATCATAATAAACATATGATAGAAAAAAGTTGGATGATATATACATATAACCATTCTATTTTGATATCAACTAAGGTTTACTGAAAACTCACAGTACCCATGAAGAACACTTGCTCCCTTCAACAATGTTAACACTTCCTGAAAAGCTGATAAATGAAACAAGATGACTAATCTACAACTTTATTCTTCTATCAAAGGCCTCTAGCAGTTATATGGTAAGAGGGAAATTTCTAATTAAAATTTCCCAAGGCCCATCTGAATTGCTAAAAGACCTCTAAATAATAACAGGACAATCACAGCAACAAACAGAACAAAGCATTTACTGGTATGTGAACTTTTCTAAATAATATAAAGACCCAAAGTAACAAATAATACTAAAGGGCTTTGGCCAAAAGGAACTAAAAGAGAAGGTGGAAGAAAATGCGACAAATATAAGAAGGAATAACAATAACCCGCAGACAAGTATATGACTAAATATCAAAGCAAGAAACAGTAAGACCAGATCTATTGTTGCAGTCACAATAGAAATAAGTTCCATAGTAGAAGGAAACAAATCAAGCAGGCAACAAACAGATTAATGGCGCTATTTTTAAACGAAGCAGAGATCAAGTACTCACCCAATTTACAGTCTGATTCAATATGGAATCCCCTGCTCTGAGCTATGACTCAATCCAATTTGCCAAGCATAGAACACTATTTTCAAGTATATGTGCAACATACACCTCGAGAATGGTTCCTCCATGTTGGTTACTGATATAGACACGCTATGTATCATGGACACTCATGTCCATGGTTTTTTGCATGTTTCGACACACCAAAGATGCACCATCCACTGTTGCAATTGGGTCGTTGCAATTACTAGGTTGGATGTCTAATTGTCCAAGCTATAGTGATAGTATCTTGTACCTGAACTAGTGGGTCACTTTTTTCTAAGTAGCGGGGAAGAGGACCGAAACATGCCGTTGAAAGACTCTACCGAAACAAAAATGAGCTGTCAAGAATGTAGATGAGGTAGGATGGGCAGTTGGTCAGACCTAGTATGGATCGTTCATGGACGATAGTCGGTTCTCCTAGGGTTACCACATATGGGATCCTTGGGGAAGACGCTTAGACACTTAATTCTCAATATTTATTCTTGAGGTCTCATAATAGATTCTTAATGTCTCGTAGTCTTTGAAAGGCTGTTTTCAGATTAGCATATGTAACGCTCATATATGTGTCAGACGTACGCATCCATGTCTACATAACATAGCATAAAAACCGATTATAACAAATCATTCCGAAAAGGCATCCATGGTTTCTTCCTGATTAGCCTCCATTTCCACTAACCCCTGATCATACCAATCTCCATCTCTCGGCTCCTTCTTATACAACCCTCTGCTCCTATTCAAAAACCCAGTCTTCATCATTTCTATGTACTTCTCTCTAATATCAACAAGTGGGTGCTTCTCAACTAATTGGTGGGCATCAAAGGCTTCTCTGAGAATTACAGTGTGTGTGTCACGCTTCTGAGAAATATAAAATATGCCCGGGTGCCTCTCAAAAACCTTGGTGAATTTTTGAGGGAGCCCCAATGGCTTTCTCAGATTGCTCAAATTCTTCCTCTCTGTCTTCCTCTCGATTGTGAGGTAAAGAAGTTCATGAAATACACCAACAATTCTCTTCTCAGACTCATCTGTTCTCGGATCGAGATGCGACGCATCGGCATAAGGTGAAGTGTAGGGAAGCCTCTGCCACTCTCCCAACCAATCCATGCATTTCTTCCTGAGACCGAAACCCCGAGTAAATTTTATAGGGAAAGCCAGAGCCCTCTTATCCCCTTCGGAACACCTCACCCCACAATTCCTCTCCATCTGTGAGACTGCGAGCCTGCAATCCCAATGTGAAAGCTGGAGCCCAATTCGATCGTCTTCAAGCTTAACAAATTCGAAGAGTTGGGGGTACCTTGGTATTAAGCCGCGGTCATAGTCTTGGACCAAACCCATGTCCCATCTCAGCTGATCAATGGTTTGTAGAGGGAGAGTCCTTTGCTTTGTGAGCATGAGCAATTTGCAGAGCCTCTGTACTGTACCTTCCTCGGTAACCTCTTGCCATCTCTGTTCCTCCTCATGGAGGCTCCGAGCCTCTTGGGTTAGCTTGAACCAGTGCAGTGGGCACCCATTTTGATGGCGAATGAATTCATGGAAGATGGTGGGGTACCTTCTCATGAACCTCGAAACCCTAATTTCGATATCCATTTGCCTACGCCTCTTCGAGAGTTGGTAGACGGGCAAGCAGCCATCCGCTTGCCTGCAAATCATGTCCTTGAGCTCGCACACAGCTTTGAGGTCCTTCTCCATGGCGACCACTGTGTCAAGAACTGGGTCCTTTACCCATTTCAGTTTTATGTTTACAAGAGAGAACCTTTGCTGGTAATAACATGGTTGAGATGATGGAGGAGTGAGAAAGAGTCTTCTTCTGAACATGGTGTGGTCAGTTGGGTTAGCAAAAGAAAGAGAAGGTAGAGAGAAAATTATCAGGGAAACACAGATATAAATAACTCGTATAGGCCTCTCTCTCTCTCCTCTGATGCGCTTTTACATCACTAGCCAAATGAACGTGCGCTTAAAGTATGTTTTAGAAGCAAAAGGCCCTGTAAAAAAAAAATGAAATAAATGGCAACGTTTAATTTTTAAAATAAAATTATGGATTGAGAGGAAAAAACCATTTATTTTTTATAAAAAGAGTTCCAGTTATTTTTGTCCATCGGATTTTTAATCATTGACTAAGTTTAAATATTTTTAAAAAAAAATCTCCAACTTTACATCTAATTTTTACATCTAATTTGAAATCCGATAGCTTGAGGTATTTGTGACCTCCTTACCTCCTTTTAATATACAATTCCGGCTTCTTTGGCAAACTCCTTTATATTCGTTTTAGCCCGCTTAATTGTCTTTCTATCTTCTTTTTCTCTTTCTCACACCTTATAATTGTGTTAATATCTTATCTCTTATATTTAAAACGCGATGTATGGAAATACCAAATGTCATCACCTCCTCTCTTTCAGTCTCTTTTTTAATTTACTTGGTTTTTCTCTATTCCTCTCATGTTTTCCCGCCCCCCGCCCACCCCATGTTTCTCCATTGTCCGTCTTTCTCTCTCTCCCTCCCCATATACATGCAAATAGATTATTTCTCTTTTTTTGTTCTCCTTCTCTCTCCTGCCCCCTTTTTAAATCTCTCTTTATCCCTCTCACTTTTCTCCATTCTCTCCCTCTCTCCCCCCTTTTTTAATATAAATATACCATTCTCTCACTCTCTCCCTCCCCCCTTTTTTAATATAAATATTCTTATAAAGTATATTTATATCTATTTTGTATTATAAATTATACTTATTTTATAATCAAAATAAAATGCACCTTCAAATAGGAGAAATGTAGTTTCAATGAAATTTTTTGTGACAACCTTAAAATATATTTTTATCTTTCATTATAAAATTTAAAGCTTCAAAAATAGCGTAAATTGAGCAAATCTATGAAAACTTGAAAAATTAACGGTCCAAAAAGGCATTAAAAGATGCACTATTTCCCAAATTTGAAATCCATTTTTTTTCTCATGTCCATACATCATGATGTCATGATGATTAATTTGAAGATACTTGACATCAAAACAAGTTCTTCTAGTGAATTTTTTGAGATGGGCTCTGATTTGATGGTTTAAAGCCTCGGCACTATATAAACTTTTTCCTATAATTATAGGTTAGAAATATCAAAATAAGTGTAATCTAAAATAAGTATGAAAATCATACGTATTTTGAATTATAATTATAAGTTATGATTATTAATTCAAACTTATTTATATTTATTAATAGATTTTTTTTAATTTGTCTTTTTAAAACTATGCTCTTTGAACAAAATTATTTTAAATATGATTTACATTTTAAGAGAAATTTTATCTTTTGTGTAGATTTGTAACTTTTTAAACAAATATAGGAAATAATATAAATATAAAACTTACTAGACTGGATATGATTTTCCATTCTATAATAAAATAATTTTTTTTAAATACTTATTTTTAAGTAGTGATGCACTTTATTAAGTAAATAAAAGACTCAATTGCCATTTCCAACCCCAACATTAGTCTTTGAAATACATATATCATTTAGATAAAGAGGAGGTAAAATTTGAGGCGACATTCAAGCGCTTTTCTAACTAGATTTTAACAAAAGAAAATGTTAAGAGGTATCTAAGTTTCTACAAAGTCACATGGTGATTGCCGTGTCCTTAGTGCCTCGACAAGATCCATAAATCATAATCACGCGCCTTCATGTCCCACAGCTCATCACACTATAAAACCAAACAGGAAAATGAGTGTAAAGAGTTTAGAATAATCATAAATAGATAAAAAAGGAACAATCTTCAAACAGCTTACAAATAGAGACGGAGAAAGGAGAGAGCGTGCCTCGACCAAGAAGTCCTGAATATGCGTTTTCTCGAGTTGAGCTTTTAATTTCATCAAGAAAACTCCTTCCTTCGTTACCTGCATTTTTTCTCTCTAGTTAGAGAACCAAATGCTCTCTCTCTCTCTATTAAACTCTCTAGTTGGTTGAAATGGTCTTTAACTCTCTTCAACTTTATCCTCCAGAGTCCACACAATCAATTTTCCCACTCTCTACACTTCCCGACTTCTCTGTCCTCAATCTCTTAACCACCTGGTTTTGCTCTATCACCATGTCTGGCTTTTCTCTCTCTGTATCGCCTGCATTCTCAATCAATGGCTGGCTTTGCACTTGGCCCGAGCCTCTCTCTACATTTCCCGAGTTCTCTTCTGCAACCAAAACCTTGATTGCTAAGGTGCTTTTCTCTTTGGCCAAATCAATCTCTGCAATGCCTGAGTTATTGCCCATGCCCACATTCTGAATCGCTGGCTGGATTTGCTCTTTAGTTAAGTCTCTCTCTAAATCGCCTGAGCTCTCCATGCTTGTACTTTCAATCATTGACTGGTTTTTCTCTGTGGGTGTTTCTTTTAGCTCCTCGGCCAAACCCACCTTCACACACTCTTCACCCTTCACCCCTTCCCCTACTCCACTAGTGCTGCTACTACCAATGCTGACCATGCGGGCCGAGCCCAGGCCCACAGGACCCATATCTGCATTCATGGGCCGGGTCTGGGTTCTCCCCCTCCCAGACCCATTGGGCCTCTGAAAAGTAGGTGTCATGCCAGTGTAGACAGGTGGTGTAGGGTTGTCACTCGTAGTGATATAGTGGACATTGGCAGGCCTGGGCCCGGTAAACATAGTGGTCCCGTTTATCCCACTGGCAGGCCTTGTACCAGAAAGCTTCACAGGCCCACTGGGCCCAGCCAGGGGCTTGGGAGGACCAAAGTGAACAACATTTCCTGATTGGGCAGCTTTGAGAAGAGAGGCAACTGTTGAGGCTGGGGCGATGCGGGCCCCAGCAGCGACTGCAGCTGCTTGCACTAAGGGATTAGGCCCATTCGTGGGCTTCATTTGGGCCTGGCCTTGGGTTGGTGTCGCTTTCTTTGCAGGTGGTCTGGCCTTGGAGGGGCCCCGGTGGGCTTGGTCTGGGCCTTGCTGTGGTACTTGGGAAAACAGTGGAGCTGGAGGCCTCACTATGGATGAGAAAGTCCCTGAACCACCTGTTTTATTGAATTGAGGCAGTGATGTCAAGTGATCAATCATTTTAAGCACATTACTAAACTGTCTCATATGAGCAATTAACCGGTAAAAAAGTGTGGATACCAAAGACCCCAAATGCACAATTCAACAGTAAAAGAGGTGCTGATACCAAAGTCCCAATATGAACAAAAAAATAATACTTCCGGTTGAGACATGACCCTATATTGTAAGGGTATTATATGCTATGAGACCATTTACCTTTAATACAACGAGGTCACAATTATCTATGGCTATCTGATGTGAAATCTGACAGCTTGGATGTCTCACAAAGTTTGAAAAATTTTCTTTTGAACTACGAGCCTGGTCAATGGAATAAACTCAGTTTCACATCCAATGGTCAACATTAATTGTAAGCTCCATTTAACAAATATAAATAGTCTTATCGTTTTGTATTAGAAAATTCAAATGTCGAAAAGTACAAGCGAGGGATAAACGAAAAGCTCAAATGAAAAATGCAGCAGCCACCACAAGGAGTGTCAATCAATAGAACACTAACTAAATACTTTGTCGTTTATAACTGTAAGCCCAAACTAACTCAGGAATTGCCCGAGTTAGACTTGGTGAATCAAAATAGAAACGCTGCCAATTCAATGCCTGATTCCTATTTTTAAATCATTGCTTATCAGGGTCAAAAGATTATACCAACCCGAAGACAATGTATTCGATGAGATGGGCATATTGAGAGCAATTGAAACAGCCTGCCGGGTTGCTTGCTGTGCCTCAGTAAGGGCCGAACTGTTTGAGCTACCACCCACCTTTGAATCAGAATTGGCCTGTTTCTTCTTGATAATTGACCATCTCTGCAAACAGAAAACATGAAAAGACTCCCTAAAAAACATACACACATATCTACATCAATGTGCATCCAGAAATACACACATGGAGGGAGGGAGGGAGGCACGCAGGGAGATGACCCTAATATACTACAGTTCCCATAATCAACTCAGTTATAATATAACTTCCCCATAAATGTTCGAATGAGCTCATATAAATATATATTTACAAAAGAAAAGAAACCTCATACAAGTATACCACGCTCTAATTGAAACAGCAAACAGGTGCATAAAATACCTGAGAGAGCTGTGAAGCCGTTCTGTCATGCTTGAAATCTCCTTTTAGAATGTTAGCCCAATTCCCTTCACCACACTTTTGAACGGCAGCAATGAGTTCCTTATCCTCTTCGGAGGTCCATGGTTTCCTTTTCCTCCTTGGTAGCCCTGCCACCCCATTGGAATTCAAACCTTCAGCTGAAGTCACTGTAGGCAAAGGTTGTTTCTGAACAGAAACTGGAACAGTAATATTTGTTCCCTGTCCAGTGCAAGAAGAATTTCGATTCTCAGATTGCGCAGGAAGGGTCTGGGCATTATTGGGAACATTTATGGTCAATGGAGCTTCTATGATGGTGCGATTCGAGGGGCCAGGGTCACTTGAAGCAATCAGCACCTGGTAACCAAATTTTCAACAGCTGTGCCATCTTAGATATGATCAGCATAAATAAAAATAAGAGCCGCAATTGTCTACAGGTAAAAAATGGCGTTCACGAAGATAGCCATCTTTTCCCAATAAACTTCTAAAAATACCTATCTTAATCATAATAACAAACACATCTAGTTCGAAAAATTGCTTACCCAGATTTTGGCCCAAAGCACAGAAGGAAAGTCGAATGTTTCAGAAAACTGGAAAAATCAATATGTTCTGATATTTCCAAAGTTCCTGTTTTTGACTTGTACATATACAAGATGTTAAGAAAAAACTTTCATGATTTTCAAAAGTCATAATTTGTGACTGGGAGGCAAATATGAAAGCCTGCTAGTAGTAGTGATGAAATCCAATAGTTTTTCACCTTTTAAGAAGAGTTCAAGTTTGTGAAAATGCCAGTACATTGTGGCATTTATGGCTTACTGTCATTGACATGAATATGTTCAATCCTGCCACTGTCAACCAACAACTCAATTGTTCACCTACACCCACCCTTGCCACACTTTAGGATGCTCATATATTCCTTTCATGGTCAACCCTCATTACACTCTGGCTTCTTTATCTCACTTTCCCATAGCTGTACGCTTCCCTTATCATCAACAAGGGCACTTCTCTCTCTTGATTATCTGGAGTTTCCATGGTCTTTAATATTTTTCCAACAGATTTTCTTTTAAGGAAATACTTATTTTGTTATAAATTTTTTGTATTTTTACCACGACCTTATATTCAAACTCATCCCAAACCTGAGTGGACTGGACTCCAAGGCATATAAGAGTTTAGCCGAGTGTTGAGTCAACGAACTAGGAATACATGCAGCCTTGAAGCATCATTCAACCCCAAGCTAACATGACTCAAGCTAATATTATTTCCGTATTCTTTGCCATTGTGTATCAGATCCATTTTGGAGAGCTCTTTCGCTTAAGTGGAACAAGAAGCACTTGCGCTATTCAGCAGATAAGGAAGAAGTCTTAGGGTGTAGTGGTGGCCTACCTAGAACAGCTGATAAGTAAGTTTCTATGGTCTGGAGGGAGGGGGGTATAAGAAATTTCATCTCATTGCCTGGGATAATGTTTGTTCGCCTTGACAGCAGGGTGGTTTAGGCATTCAAAGTCTCAGAAAAAACAATTTGGCCCTCCTATGCAGGTGGTGGTGGACCTTTGCCATACAGGAAAGCCAACTATGGAGGGAGGTGATTCACCACAAATTCCACTGCATAGAATCTGGTTGGCTACCCAGAGGCATGGCTAATAGTCGGGTATTCAGGGGTGTGGCATTGCTTGATATCTAGCTACAACTTTTTCAAAGAAAACATTCGCTTTTGCCCTAGGATGGGAAATAAAATCAAGATCTGGACTGACCTTTGGATTGGAAGTCCTACACTTCAAGAGCAGAAGTAGTTTCTCTTGGCTTGAGATCGACGTGCTACTATGGCTGTCCAGTTCAATATTTTGGGTGATTTAAGAATCTGGAATCCCAATTTCAGATGGCCTCTTTAGGACAGAAAATTGGCTGAATTCAAGTCCTTGTCCTTCCTCCTGCAGTCCATCTTTCTCCCCTCCATTGGTGCTTGACTAAATGATGTGGTCACCAGCCACTTCGGGGATCTTTTCAGTGTCTTCTTTCTATCGCAAGCTGCGACAACCCCAACATTTCCCCTCACTCTACCTTCCCTTGCTGCAAGAGCGTGGCATATAGCTATTCCAGCCAAGGTCCAAGTGGTCAGCTGGATAGCTATATCCTAGAGGCCTTTGACAGTGGACCAGCTAACAAAAAGGGGCTGGCCAATCCCTGACCGATGCGTGATGTGTAAAGCAGCAAAGGTGTGTAAAGCAGCAAAGGGAACCAACGCACACCTCTGCATCTACTGCAACTTGGCTTGGGCCATGTGGGGAGATTTGATGCAGCTCTTCAATTGGATGTGGGTGATTCCCAAATCTGTTCCCACCATTTTTTAGTTCCCTCAAATATGCCCTCTAGTCAATGTCGGACATTTTTCTTTAGAGTGCATCCATGGCAACCACTTTGTGGTTGATATGGACCAAAAGAAATAATAGGATTTTTCGAGGGAGGCCTCCACCATCAGCTCATTAAAGACTTCAAGACTGGATCAGAACTTGGGTAATATTTTGGGCTAGAATCATAAGCTCTTCAAGCATCACTCCTATGCTGATTTCATTCAAGAATGGCAGGCCATGCTAAACTTGATTTAGTACAATAAGTTTTTTATTTCAGCAACTTCTGGTAAGAAATATCACAGAAATCCAAACATTTATCTATCCAGCCATGAGGTCCACGCAAATCCTACAAGCGTCCCTTTGGAAACCACAAGAGCAAGGCCAAACCAAACTAACTGATGGTTGGTCCATTGGCAACCCCAACCGGGGTGGCATGGGGGGTATCATTAAAGACAAGGACAGGATGATCCTTTCTTCCTTCTCCAAATTCATTGGTCACACAGATTCCACAACGGCAGAGACCATTGCCATCCCTGAGGGCCTTAAATGTGTAAACCCAAAACGCTCTTTTGGTCATCTCAGGGGATTCCGAAAGTGCAACCTTGTGCATGGAGACTCGAGCACATCTTTTGATGAAATTTTTGACATATGAAGGCCTATGCACATCTTATGGGACATACGGCGTGTGCCAACTCAGAAGCCGACAGCCTCGCTAAAGAAGCACTCTCAAACAGTACGATGGGGACCTTTTTGAGCTATCGGTCCTGTGAGCTCCCCTTTACCTTTCTTGGTGTATCAAAGGTTATGCCATAATTTTTTGAATATATAGCATTTGTTGGTCTGTATTTTATTTTTGGTAAAAGCACCCAGCATCTGGGCTGCCTTACACCCTCTTTTTCTGACCCATTTCACTCAAAACTAAAGTCAACACCACCTCAAAAAATAAAAAATAAAACAATTAATATATAAAAGTACAAATAAAAATTCAATATATGGGGTATATTTTCCAAAATCTTGACCATATTAGGCACATTTCTGATTTTTTTAAGTAAATCAGGCATATTTATAATATTTTTAAACATGTGAGGCATGTTTCTGATATTTTAAAGAATATGGAGTGGATCCATTCACTTTAGTTTAGGGGCCGAACCCGAAGACTTAGTTCCATTCAGCTGAAGTGGCGCGAATCTCATGAGTTATAACATTGTTCATTGCTACAGGAATGGATGATCATCTCTATGTATTCTATCATTCATGCCTCGACTCTACTCAGGTAACAGCCCGATTAAGTTGATCAATTCTTTAAATTAGTTTCAACC